AAACCCTAAACCCCGAAGCCCCCCCTAGACCCTCCCTATGAGCAGAGGCCAGGCTCTGGGCTGAGGCTTCCCGCGTAGACGAGCAGCATCACGGAGGCGCCCAAGCAGAGCGTGATGAAAGGCACACAGACGGCGATCTGAAGGCCCATAGCCTAATGTAGGGGCCTTACTAATAATTAGAGTGGGGTTTTGGGGGCATATCATGCTATAAGTATAATAAAGGAACCCCCAAAATGGTATAGGTCATTCTCGAGGCCCTATATTGGATTTAGCAATCAGGCTACCCTTGCGCCTACTATTGGTTCTAAGCAGGGAACCCCAAAAGAAAAAGGGGCAACGGGCAAGAGGGTGCTACTGGAGAGCCTAGTTGCTAAGCGATCCACTGCATGAATCCAGTAGTAAGTCTTGTAATATCCGTCCATGGTCTCGAAGAACCGCTTCACGAAGTGCCGCTCTCTTCGGAAAGCCCGGATGGTGTCCATCGCCAAGAGGAACCCGGAGACCTGCTGGGTTCTTGTTATAAGGGGATGTAAGTTTAAGCTACCATAATAAAGAAACCCTATGAGATACGATCGATCCCTATGATGGTCACTTCAATTACAGTAATCCGTATTAAACCCGTAAACCATGTTTAAACATATCAAAACAATCCCAAAAAAGCAATGCATTCCCTAACAAGAACCAGCTAAGAGGAGCCCGACGACCTGGGACATGACGGGGCTGGTCGCCATGAGCATGAGCCTCTGAAGGTTCAAGGCCACAGAGCCGTAGCGATCCTGCGGGGTTCAGGGTTTTGGGTGTACGGGTTTGGGGTTTAGGAATTTGGGGTGTGGGTACTGGGGTTTAGGGTTTAGGGTTGATCCTGCAGGCGACGAAGAGGCCAGCCGATCAGCAGCAAGACCAGTAGGGCAGGCCAGGCGAGCACGCTGGCCCCGATGATGCCCACAAAGACCACAGCGAAGTGCTGCATCGCGAACTCAAAGAGTCGCGGCATCTGAAGGTCCATTAGGGAGATGTCCTGCGAGAAGCGGTTCAGGACCCGTCCTAACGGCGTGGTGTCATACCAGTTCAGCGGCTGGCGCAGCACGGACGCCAGCATCTTCTGATGCAGGTGGCGAGATATCTTGGTGAAGTACATCGCCGCAAAAGACACCTAGGAAGAGCTTCTGGCACAGAATGCTTGGGGGTTTTGGGGTAGTGCACCCCAGGCACCCTGAAGGCGCAGCACAAGGCAAAGGCAAGAGAAGCCAGGAGATAGCTCCTCTGGTCGTCGAAGGCTGGCCCCATCTGTGCCTCCAACAAGACTCCAAGCCGGGCTTAAGGCTTAGGGCTCAACTGCGGCACAGCTGCTTAGGTGTAGAGGATTCTGGGCCCATTTGTATGTACTCCCAGACTTCAAGCGCCGCAGCTGAGGAGCCAGGGGTCGATAAATGGGTTGTTTTCAAAACTGGGGAACCATCGGGTGCCGTATTAAGAATAGAAATAGACCGGGTTCCCCTAAACCCTAAGCCCCCTTTAAAACGGACCATGATTCCGACGCTTACCCGAATCTGTTTTAGTTTAGGGTTTTGCTTCCAGCGTTTCCCCGCGAGCCTCCCGAATCCAAGTCGCCAGCAGGACGTTCGAGAGAAACATTGCAAGCCTTGGGGTTTAGGGTTTAGTGGTTTAGTGTTTAGGGTTTTGGGGTTTAGGGTTTAGTGGTTTAGGGTTTAGGGGTTTAGGGGTTAGGGGTTTGGGGTTTAGGGTTTTGGGGTCTCGGGTTCTCTTTAAGGAATCGAATCATTAAGTTGCCATCAGAAGCAAACGCACATCCTCCACTCTATCTCTTTAAGGACCCCACCATGGTAAACCCTAAACCCTAAACCCCTAAACCCTATACCGAAAACCCTAAACCCCTAAACCCCTAAACCCTTAAGTTGAACTCCTTAAGTTCGAGCCCCGAGGCGGCACCAGCAAGGAGGAGAACGCCAGGCACAGCCCAAGGAAGGTTGACTGGCCTCAAGGTCAAATATGCCTTCAAATGACAAATCCCAAACCCTAAACCGCTTAGGGTTTTAGGGTTGCGGTCTATCTGTCCGTGTGCTGCAGCAGTCCCTCATGCGCACCCGTAGCCTTACAACAGAAAGGCACCAGCTAGGGTAGGAAAAACACAAAGATATGTAAGTAGACAGACCATACAGGCAAACAGATGCGCACATAGATAGCTACAATGGTAGGTAGGTAGATAGGTAGGTAGGTAGGTAGGTAGGTAAGTAGGTAGGTAGGTAGGTAGGTAGGTTGGTTGGTTGGTTGGTCGGTAGGTAGGTAGGTTGGTAAGTGGGTACGTAGATAAGTGGATAGGTAGATTTGCAAATAAGTGGATGGGCAGGTAGGCAAATTAGTAAATAGGCAGATAGGCAAATAGGTAGATAGAGGTATGCAGATGGATAAGTAGATAAGTAGAACAGCTGCATGTATGCATGCATGTACGTATGTACGCATCTATGTATGTGTGCGTGTATGTGCATGTATGTGCATGTAT